ACTTTTACTTAAGTGAAATCTTTTCCGCTAACTTCAACACCATAAAATCTTAAGTTTTTCTTAGATTCCACTTATTTTAGTCTTATTAAATTCATAAAAATACAGTTTTTCATTCTGCAAGTTTCTTTATTTTTTTTTACTCTTACCACACAAGAATTTTTCTGGGTGTGCCACAGTTAAGTGGTTAATTTAAAAATAAAAAGTATCATGCCTTCTAAAGAACATCACATCTGATAAGTTTATTTACATATGCAGTAAATTAAACTTGACAGGTTTTAAAACTGAGTAATAAAAAAAAGGATTTTAGGAGAGAGCTTTACAATGAATTCTCTCCAAGATACGATACTACGTGCCGCAAAATGCCCTTCTCACACTACCATTCACTCATTTATCCATACCTCACCTATGCTATTTGTGCTTTGGGATCAACTGCAGCAACACACCTAAAGCCAATAATAACCCAACAAAAAGCCGCAGTAAGAATAATCACTAAATCCCATCCCTGGCAACACCCCCCCCCCCACTCTTCATAGATCTAAACTTACTCCCTGTTCAGAACATCCACACTTACTACTGTGCAATCTACATCTACAGGACCTAAAATTCCAATATTAACCTTGACCTAAAATGCTTTCTTGATAGTTGTGACAGGACCCACAGGCATAACACCAGACACAAACATCTCTACAACATTCCCCGTGTCTGACTAAACCTTTACAAAAATTCAATGTATGTCAAAGGCCCTAAAATCTGGAACACCCTACCTGAAACCTCTAGAACTGCAGACACATTCATCACATTCAAAACTACTGTTAGAAAACATCTTATCTTCCTGATACACCCCGTCAACTAACTACATAAAAACCACCTGGTGGTTCACACTTACACTCACTCACTCACCCATTTGACTATAAGCACAGAAATACGAATCTTTATCTTAAAATAATGATTCCTAACTAGTCATAAGTTTGCCTGTGATACTCCAATATAGAAACTATGTATTGTGCCAAAACAAAAGCATTCACACTGCTAAACTCACAAACTAGTATTTAGTCAACTTACTCCATAATTTGTAATAATTTAGGGTTAAGAATTAATCTAAGTTTGCCCGAAATGCCTAGCCATTCTAGGTGTCCTAGTGGCCCCCTCTGTAATTAGTATTTTATTACATGTAAACCACACAATAACCAAAATCTGTAAACCCCGCATTGTAATCCTTACAGAGAATAAACTTGATTGATTGATTGATTGAATATGGAAAGAAATTACAAAGCACAGATTGGTCTATACACTGTTTTAGGGGCTAATGTAGGAAGAAATGAGGATGACTATAGTGCAGTGTTTGTGCTTCCCCTTAACCTCCATACACACACAATGGAATACCAATATTCAGTGGAACCCTGGATATTGTAGTCAGCGGATTTTGTAATATTTGGTAATCGTAATGTTTTTTCGTCAAAATATTGGCTCGGTGATCGTCATTTACCTCGGTAGCAGTCTTTCGTCCCAGACACATACAAGTGGCCCCAAGCAGCCCCACACACCATCCCACACCATTCACAGTCAGCTATTGTTTATCAGCGAGTGACCATCACCCCACGCATTCATACGATACATTTCATAAAATTCCATTCTTCTTGTGCTTGCAACTGCTAAATAAGCCATCATGGGCCCAAAGAAAGCTTCTAGTGCCAGCCCTTTGGTAAAGAAGGTGAGAAACACTATAGAATTCAAGAAAGACATCATTGCAAAATATGAAAGTGGAGTACGTGTGACAGAGCTTGCCAGGTTGTATAAGAAACCCCATACAACCATTGCTTCCATCGTGGCCAAGAAAAAGGAAATCAAGGACGCTGTTGTTGCGAAAGGTGCAAATAGGCTTACAAAACAGAGATCGCAAATGCTCAAAGATGTGGAGACTTTGTTGTTGGTGTGGATCAACAAAGAACAGTTAGCAGTGTTATGCTTTCAATAATTTGTGAAAAGACAAGGCAGTTGCATGATGATCTCACAAAGAAAATGCCTCGAACTAGTGCTGATGTTAGTGAATTTAAGGCCAGCAAAGGCTGGTTTGAGAGATTTAAGAAGTGTAGTGGTATACACAGTGGTAAGGCTTGGCAAGACTGCAAGTTCTGACAAATATGTGGCAGAAAAATATGTTTAGGAATTCAAGGGGTACATAGAGGCTGAACAAATGTTCAATTGTGACAAAACAGGCCTCTTTTGGAAGAAAATGCCAAAGAGGACCTACATCACGCAGGAGGAAAAGGCACTCCCAGGACACAAGCCTATGAAAGACAGGCTAACTCTCATGTTCTGTAGTAATGCTTGTGGGGATTTCAGAGTGAAGCCTTTACTGGTGTATCACTCGGAAAATCCCAGAGTGTTCAAGAAAAAGTGTCATCAAGAGTAAACTGTGTGTGATGTGGAAGGTAAACAGTAAGGCATGGGTCACGAGGGAAATTTTTCTTGATTGGTTCAATGCAGTGTTTGGCCCGAGTGTGAAGAAATACCTCCTGGAAAATAAATTGGAACTCAAGTGCCTCCTGGTACTGGACAATGTTCATGCTCATCCTCCAGACTTGGATGACCAAATGGTGCAGGAGTTTCGTTTCAACAGTGAAGTTCTTGCCCCCCTAATACCACTCCTCTCCTCCAGCCCATGGACCATCAGGTCATTTCAAATTTCAAAAAAACTCTACACCAAAGCAATGTTTCAAAGGTGCTTTGGTATAACCTTGGACAATGAACTGGCCCTAAGAGAGTTCTGGAAAGATCCCTTCAGTATCCCACTGCATAAACCTTATAGGTAAGGTTTGGGAGGGAGTGACTTCCAGGACTTTGAACTCTGCTTGGAGAAAATTGTGGCCAGAATGTGTCCAAGAGAGAGATTTTGAAGGGTTTGGGGCTGACCGTGACAAGCCTACAGAATTCCATGGGGTTGGAGGTGAGTGGTGAGGATGTGGAAGAGTTGGTGGAGGACCATAGGGAAGAGCTAACCACTGAAGAGCTTCAAGGCCTTCATCTGCAATAGCAACAGACCACAGCTCAGGAAATTGCTTCAGAGAAGGAGAAAGAGAGATGGAAGAAGGTGCCTTCTTCAAAGATTAAGGACATTTGTGCAAAGTGGAGTGAGGTGCAAACATTTATGGATGAACATCACCCTGACAAAGCTGTTGCAGGCCAAGTTGGCAACATGTACAATGACAATGTCATATTCCATTTTAGGGAAATTTTAAAGAAACACCAAAAACAGAGCTCTCTGGAACAATTTTTTGAGTGACAGGGGTCCCGTGACTCAAGCTGGTCCTAGTGGCATTAAAAAACAAAGAAGGGAAGTAACCCCAGAAAAGGACTTGGTGCCTGAAGTCTTTATGGAAGAGGATTCCCCTTCCAAATAATAGTAATTCCTCCATCCTCTTCCCTCCTCCCATCTTCCATACATCAATTAGTCTTCAATAAAGGTAAGTGTCATGTTATTATTGTTCATTTTTCAAGTCTCATTGTTTTCTGTGTAGGTAAATGTAAATGTAAAAAAAAATATTTTTTTTAATACTTTTGGCTGTCTGGAACGGATTAATTGGATTTACATTATTTCTTATAGAGAAAATGAATTTAGATATTGTCAAATTTGGTTTTAGTCACACTCTCTGGAACCGATTAATTACGATAACCGGGGGTCCACTGTAATTGGAATATATGTTTTTTTTATGAAAGGCATTTTTCACACAGTTGTAATGGTGTCATTGCCTTTGCTATCCACAACATCTCATATTAAATCATCAGTTATAGTATTTTTTTTTATATTATGGCTGGATTTGCACCCACACTGCCAGATGAAGAGGCCACATTAGGCATAATGATACTCAGTCCAAGTCATACTTACTAGTGACTTTCTATTATTAGAGCAAGATAATATCAAAGCCCCTTCATGGGAACGTGGTGAAGACTCCTTCTGTAAGCTATGCATGTCATAAGAGGTGACTACAATGCTGGAAGCAAGGCACTAGTAACCCCTCTCCAGTATAATTATTTTTTTTAACACGTCGGCCGTTGCCCACCGAGGCAGCGTGATCCAAAAAGAAAGAAAAGAACTTTCATCATCATTCAACACTTTCACCATCACTCATACATAATCACTGTCTGCAGAGGCGCTCAGATACAAAAGTTTAGACGTCCCTCCAAACTGCCAATATCCTAAACCCCTCCTTTAAAGTGCAGGCACTGTACTTCCCATTCCAGGACTGAAGTCCAGCTAACAGGTTTCCCCTGAATCACAAAATATTACTCTGCTCACACTCCAATAGCTCGTCAGGTCCCAAAAACCATTCGTCTCCATTCACTCCTATCTAACACTCACGCACTCGTGCTGGAAGTCAAAGCCCCTCACCCACAAAACCCCCTTTACCCCTTCCCTCCAACGTTTTTGGGGATGACCCCTACCCCAACTTCCTTCCCCCTACAGATTTATATGCTCTCCATGTCATTCTACTTTGTTCCATTCTCTCTAAATGACCAAGCCACCTCAACAGCCCTCTGATTAATACTTTTAGTAACTACACACCTCCTCCTAATTTCCACACTATGAATTCTCTACATAATATTTACACCAAACATTGCCCTTAGACATGATATCTCCAGCCACCTCCTTGCTACAGCATTTACAATCCATGCTTTACACCCATATAAGAGTGTTGGTACCACTATACTGTACTCTTGTACATTCCCTTCTCTGCCTCTATGGATAACATTGTCTCCACAGACACCTCAATGTACCACTCACCTTCATTAATTCTATGGTTAACCTCATCCTCCATAAATCCATCCACTTACAATTCAACTCCCAAATATCTGAAAACATTCACTTCTTCCATACTCCCTCCCTCCAATGTGAAATCCAATTTTTCTTTATCTAAATTGTTTGGTACCCTACCTTGGTGGGAGACAGCCGGTGTGTTAAAAAATCAAAGCTGAAATCAGAAGTGTAATACACAGAATACCTTTCTCTGTTGGTGACAATCAAGACAAGCCATCTCATGCACTGGTACTACATCATGGGCATAATCTTGAGAGTCCTGGTAAACAAAAGAATGTTATCTTCATTAGTAAAAATTACAACATATGTAATATTATTAGTACAGTAGCACATTCATGTGGAAGCATTAAACCCATGTGCCATACAGCACTTAGGGAATGGAAGGCACTCAGGTTTGATCCAAGGAAGAGCAGGGTATCTCTAATTTCTTGGATGATGAGCACTTCCAAGTATTAAGGAACCAGTCTGGAAGGATGTGTACCAGTAATCATAGATACTTTCCTGGAGGAAAATTGAGCTCCTACACACAACTGCAATCAGTAAAATTTGATTTGAAATTAAACAAAACTCCACATTTTACACTTCATTCCTCTATATTAATGCATTTTTGCATTACATAAATATTCCATTTAAGAGTGGATTGCAATTCTTCACTGAAAGGAAGAAAAAACTGCTACTGAAATTCTATTGAATCTGCATAACAAAAATAGAGTGGCTACTACCACATATGGTGTGGTGCAGTAATCCCTCTAAATTCACAGCATCTAAATTGTTCATATATACAAGTTGTGTTTTTCTTACAAATGTCCCAACAAATGTACAAAGTATTCACAAAAGTTTATGGAATTAAACAAAAATGTCTTGAAATTTTCACCAATTATGAGCTTACCACACAAGCACTAACACAAGGTCTGTGGTAAAAGTTCTGTGCCCACACATGAGCACCAGGGCCTGGCTTGATTCATAAAACTCTTTCGTTATACAGAAGTGCAAATACCATTAGCACAAGCATTCAGCATTCTTTAGAGAAAGAGCTTAGATTTGGGTGAAATTCCAGAGGTCTTAAAAGATAAGGGTAAAGAGCTGTTTGTTTTAATTATGGAATTAGAACTGGTATAGGATAGGGTGGATAAGGAAGCAATGTGGCAGATGTTGCAAATGTATGGGGTGGTAGGTTACTAAGAGCAGCAAAATTTTTATGTGGAAAGTGAGATTTAGTCTACCCTCTCTCCTACATACTCTGACCTATTCTTGGTGAAAGTAGAACTTAGACAGGGATGTGATGTCACCATGGTTGTTCAACATGTTTATAGACAGGGATGTAAAAGAAGCAAATGCTAGGGTGTTGGGGAAAGGAATGGGATTAAAAGACAATGGATCTAATATGAAATGGAAGCTGTCACTGTTGCTCTATGCCAGTGACAAACTTCTTATGGGAGCTTCTGAAGACAAACTGTGCAGGTTAGAGGATGAATCTGGGAGATTTATGCATGTAAAAATATAACATTAAAAGCAAATGTAAGAAAAAGCAAGGTGATAAGAGTAACAAATAGTCTTGGTGACAGATTGAATATCAGATTGGAGGGAGTATGAAGGAAGTGGATGCACTTAGATATTTGGGAGAGGACGTATCAGCCGATGGGAGTAAGTGTGGTGTGAATACAGCCTCTCCTCATTTACCAACATACTTGTTTACCAACTCAGATTTACGATGGGCTCTCTGACCAGTATGCATACTTAAATAATGCATGTTAGAGCTGATTCCCTCTATTCTGTTTATTACAATATACAAGACACTACTGTACAAACATTTAAAAATATACCAGAAATGTTATAAATGGTGCAAAGGTGTGCTCCTCACTTGGTGATGAATTCGTTTACTGATGTGGTCTTAGGAATGGAATTCAGTTGTTAAGTGAGGAGAGGCTGTATTATGCAGAGGATCTGGAACGTAGAAATTGGAATATGGTTTTCAGATCAAACAGAGTGAAAATCCAAGGTGGAAGGCAGGAGAGGTGAAGGGCATCCCAGGAATGGTTAAGGGAAGGAAGTGAAGAAGGCTCAAGTTTTAGGGGCTTCGATATCCAGCAGGACCCCCTATATATATATATAAAAAAAAAATCACCATCATTCATTCATTATATATATTCAGGTACTGTATACTGTACATAAAAATTAGATGATAAATATTCAATGCAATCAACTCTACTTGACAGCTATTATTGTATTTCACAGCTACAGTGGACCCCCGGTTAACGAAATTTTTTCATTCCAGAAGTATGCTCAGGTGCCAATACTGACCGAATTTGTTCCCATAAGGAATATTGTGAAGTAGATTAGTCCATTTCAGACCCCCAAACATACACGTACAAACTCACTTACATAAATACATAATTGGTCGCATTGGGAGGTGATCGTTAAGCGGGGGTCCACTGTACTTGCTTGATGGTAAGTAATTTGGTAAATGATGTACTGTATTTGGAATCTACATAAACTCAGAAGTTTAAATTATTACTATCAATAAATACTATGAATATGTAACTTGTATAATATGAAAATTTTTTTCTTATTTTTCTAGTTTTAGTGAAGAAAATAAAAAATATTTATCAGTAAAGCTTTCGATAATTATAGGTACACATAAAAATGCTAAATCTGTCATTGGATAGAGCTTTAGAGCCTAATGCAACTTACCTTCAAATTAAATCTAGACTGAACTGCAAGGCATCGTGTGCAATTTATTAGATTATTTCTTTGGAGAAAATCAAGGGCATCATTGAAACCTTGTTGACACATCTTGTTAAGTACATAAGGCGGAGGTGGAAACAATATACGAGTAAAGCGATACAAGTTCTCTTTACTGAGTTCAATGCTAGTGTTAGCAAGGTTGATCTGTAAGAATAACATGATTAAATTTCATTCTGGGATATCATGAAAAATAGCTATTATTTCAAAGAATATTAAATCGTACAGTATTGGATGTTACTAAAATACTATATACTATATATATATATATATGTATTTTTTTTTTTTCAACAAGTCGGCCGTCTCCCACCGAGGCAGGGTGACCCAAAAAAGAAAGAAAATCCCCAAAAAGAAAATACTTTCATCATCATTCAACACTTTCACCACACTCGCACATTATCACTGTTTTTGCAGAGGTGCTCAGAATACAACAGTTTAGAAGCATACACATATAAAGATGTGTACGAAAGGTATATAATACCGACAAGATGAGAGTAAGACACATGTGCAACATCTGGGTATCTTTATTGTAGACGTTTCGCCATCCAGTGGCTTTATCAATACAAATTCCAGGACATAACTTGAAGACAGTAGAACTATGTACAGAAGATTAGGTAATCAGTCCCTCAACCTAGGAGTAGGTGCGAACAGCACCATAGACTATGGTGCTGTTCGCACCTACTCCTAGGTTGAGGGACTGATTACCTAATCTTCTGTACATAGTTCTACTGTCTTCAAGTTATGTCCTGGAATTTGTATTGATAAAGCCACTGGATGGCGAAACGTCTACAATAAAGATACCCAGATGTTGCACATGTGTCTTACTCTCACATATAAAGATACACACCATATCCCTCCAAACTGCCAATATCCCAAACCCCTCCTTTAAAGTGCAGGCATTGTACTTCCCATTTCCAGGACTCAAGTCCGACTATATGAAAATAACCGGTTTCCCTGAATCCCTTCACTAAATATTACCCTGCTCACACTCCAACAGATCGTCAGGTCCCAAGTACCATTCGTCTCCATTCACTCCTATCTAACACGCTCACGCACGCTTGCTGGAAGTCCAAGCCCCTTGCCCACAAAACCTCCTTTAACCCCCTCTCTCCAACCCTTTCGAGGACGACCCCTACCCCGCCTTCCTTCCCCTATAGATTTATATGCTTTCCATGTCATTCTACTTTGATCCATTCTCTCTAAATGACCAAACCACCTCAACAACCCCTCTTCTGCCCTCTGACTAATACTTTTATTAACTCCACACCTTTTCCTAATTTCCACACTCCGAATTTTCTGCATAATATTTACACCACACATTGCCCTTAAACAGGACATCTCCACTGCCTCCAACCGTCTCCTCGCTGCTGCATTTACCACCCAAGCTTCACACCCATATAAGAGTGTTGGTACTACTATACTCTCATACATTCCCTTCTTTGCCTCCATAGATAACGTTTTTTGACTCCACATATACCTCAACGCACCACTCACCTTTTTTCCCTCATCAATTCTATGATTAACCTCATCCTTCATAAATCCATCCGCCGACACGTCAACTCCCAAGTATCTGAAAACATTCACTTCTTCCATACTCCTCCTCCCCAATTTGATATCAAATTTTTCTTTATCTAAATCATTTGATACCCTCATCACCTTACTCTTTTCTATGTTCACTTTCAACTTTCTACCTTTACACACATTCCCAAACTCATCCACTAACCTTTGCAATTTTTCTTTAGAATCTCCCATAAGCACAGTATCATCAGCAAAAAGTAACTGTGTCAATTCCCATTTTGAATTTGATTCCCCAAAATTTAATCCCACCCCTCTCCCGAACACCCTAGCATTTACTTCCTTTACAACCCCATCTATAAATATATTAAACAACCATGGTGATATTACACATCCCTGTCTAAGACCTACTTTTACCGGAAGTAGTCTCCCTCTCTTCTACGCACCCTAACCTGAGCCTCACTATCCTCATAAAAACTCTTTACAGCATTTAATAACTTACCACCTATTCCATATACTTGCAACATCTGCCACATTGCTCCTCTATCCACTCTATCATATGCCTTTTCTAAATCCATAAATGAAATAAAAACTTCCCTACCTTTATCTAAATACTGTTCACATATATGCTTCAATGTAAACACTTGATCTACACATCCCCTACCCACTCTGAAACCTCCTTGCTCATCCGCAATCCTACATTCTGTCTTACCTCTAATTCTTTCAATTATAACCATACCGTACACTTTTCCTGGTATACTCAGTAAAATTATTCCTCTATAATTTTTACAGTCTCTTTTGTCCCCTTTCCCTTTATATAAAGGGACTATACATGCTCTCTGCCAATCCCTAGGTACCTTCCCCTCTTTCATACATTAAACAAAAGTACCAACCACTCCAACACTATATCCCCCCCTGCTTTTAACATTTCTGTCATGATCCCATCACTTCCAGCTGTTTTACCCCCTTTTATTTTACGTAATGCCTCACGTACCTCCCCCACACTTACATTCTGCTCTTCTTCGCTCCTAAAAGATGGTATACCTCCCTGACCAGTGCATGAAATTACTGCCTCTGTTTCTTCCTTAACATTTAAAAGTTCCTCAAAATATTCTCGCCATCTACCTAATACCTCCATCTCCCCATCTACTAACTCCCCTACTCTGTTTTAAACTGAGAAATCCATACTTTCCCTAGGCTTTCTTAACTTGTTTAACTCACTCCAAAAATTTTTCTTATTTTCATTAAAATTTCTTGACAGTGCCTCTCCCACTCTATCATCTGCTCTCCTTTTGCACTCTCTCACCACTCTCTTTACCTTTCTTTTACTCTCCATATACTCTGCTCTTCTTATAACACTTCTGCTTTGTAAAAACCTCTCATAAGCTACCTTTTTCTCTTTTATCACACCTTTTACTTCATCATTCCACCAATCACTCCTCTTTCCTCCTGTCCCCACCCTCCTATAACCACAAACTTCTGCCCCACATTCTAATACTGCATTTTTAAAACTATTCCAACCCTCTTCAACCCCCCCACTACTCATCTTTGCACTAGCCCACCTTTCTGCCAATAGTCGCTTATATCTCACCCGAACTTCCTCCTCCCTTAGTTTATACACTTTCACCTCCCTCTTACTTGTTGTTGCCACCTTCCTCTTTTCCCATCTACCTCTTACTCTAACTGTAGCTACAACTAAATAATGATCCGATATATCAGTTGCCCCTCTATAAACATGTACATCCTGGAGCCTACCCCAACCTTTTATCCACCAATACATAACTAATAAACTACTTTCATTACTGCTACATCATACCTTGTATATTTTTTTTGTCTTTTTTTCAAAATAGAATTAAAGGCTCCCAATTTACTTTACACCCTGCACCCCAAATTTCCTTTACATTTACCTCCCTCCAAACATTTATTATATACTACTATATATATAATTATATATATAATATATATAATTATATATTATATAAAATTTATAGGATATATATACAATCTTGGAGGTATTGTGTCAATCTTTATACCGTATAGCTTCTAAAGCTTGATAATTGTGCATCTGCAAAGCGTGATAATGTGTGAGTTTTTGTTGGAAATTTTGATGTTTTAGGTATTTCCTTTTGGGGATTATCTTCTTTTTTGGTACCTGCTGATGGAGAGCACTTCTATAAACCTAGTTAACATATATATTAATTCATATAAGTATATATATAATAATCTTATTATATTAATTTTATAATATATAATGAAATAACATATTACATCAAGATCAAAATTATATAAATAAATATTTATTACCACATGAATATTAATATTAATACACACAAACTGAAAAAATTATACAATTACATACTATTTTTTTAAATCATATAATTATGGATGAAGAACATTACTATTTATTTAAAGGAATCCCATATATAGACTATATACAATCTTATATAGGTTACACTATCCTTCATTTTAATCCACATAGACAACTATATATATATAGTACCATCCACACAACAACCCAAACCATCACCCCACACTCCAAACATCACAACAGGCACACAACACATGTCACTAACAATAGTTGAAGCCTGGTTCAATTGCTGTTCAGGAATGATTTCATTCTAAAAGGTTGCAGTTTCAAAAACAGTCCCGCAAATTTTACTTACTCTTTGTAAGTAGGCACAATGGATTCCAACTGGCATGGCTACAATCGGTCTTAGCCGGGCAAACCCTTCAAAATGTTCTTAATTTCCATACAATTCTCACCCTTTTTACACAGGGTTGGCACTAGAGCTTTCTTGGGCCCATTTGGGCACTTATTTTCCAGAAACACCACCGCAAAACACTGTAATAATACGAAATATTCCGAGTGTATGCTTGGATGTTACCGCGGAGGTCTGGCTGGAAAACCAATGGGACGCCGGCACATGTGAGGGCACATTGGACGCGTCTCGGACGAAAATCGGTATGCGGGTTTTTAATCGGTAAGCGGGGCAAAAATTTTGCGAAAAAGTAATCGTTATAGCTGAAAAATCGCTATTGCGATGTCCATCGTTATTGCGGGTTCCACTGTATATATATAGTATAATATTATATATTATATATATATATTATTCTAATATAATTTATATAATATATTATATATATATATAATATATATATTATTATAATACACATATACATAATATATATATATATATATATATAATATATATATATACACATGTATATATATATATATATATATATATATATACACACACAACACACACACACACACACACACACACACACACACACAACACACACACACACACACACACACACACACACACACACACACACACACACACGCACACACACACACAGAGTTGAACCTTGGTTGTCAATTGCATTATTGAATAAATCAGTTTTCAAACAAAGTGTTCAAGAAAAAAGTCCTGGTTTTCGTACGTTCTCTTGGTTGTCGATGGCCAAGTTTTCACTTGTACAGAACGGGACAAAGCAAATCAGGTCATGTGCTCAGGGAATGTGCACTGGGCAATGGGTCAAGAGCGTGGTTATGAATCAGTATAACCACTAACTTGTGTGCTGCAAACATCTCTTGAGCTTTTGTTGTGCATCTTGTGAACTTTTTTGTTATTTTGCAGCTTTGGTGCAATTTTTTTTTATTGCAAGATAAGCCATGATGGGCCTGAAACAAACCTCACTGGACAGGTTTTTAATGAGACAAAGAGCCAACTAATGTTGTTTATCTTCTTTGTCTCTTTTCACCAGCTAGTGGTGAAAAGAGATAAAGAGAAACAACATTAGCTCTCCTCTGACAGGTAAGGGGCAGTTAATTTTCATTTACCGAACAGTATTTCTGCTAAATTTTCATTTAGTATTCATTTTTAGTTCCCCTGTGCAGTATAATTTTATACACTGTTTTAATAGTAGTTAGTACATTATTAATATATTATTATATTGTCATTTGGGGTCTGGAATGGATTAATTCTATTAACATTATTCTTTATGGGAAAAATTGCTTTGGTTGTTATCAATTTTGGTTGTTGAATCAACATCTAGAACAAATTAAATTTGAAAACTGAGGTTCCACTGTATATGTTTTGTAAGACACTGGCCATCTCCTACTGAGGTAGGGTGACCCCAAAAAAAAAAACACTATATACATATATCAATTATTAAACCAATTTATTACTCAAAACTGTCAATTACCCAAATTTATATGCTACTGTAACTATAATACATACACTAATGACTTATTGTATTACACAAAACTTCTAATACCAACAAATTTGTAAATCAGACACTTGTGCAAAGTTTGGAAGCTTTTATATGACACATTTCCCTCAAGGAAGGTTTTTTTTTGATGCCAATGAGGGGGTTCTTGATCAAGAGAAAGTGAACCTGTTTTCCTTGTACATTGATAAAATCTGACTGCTTCCCATTCCCTACATGTTGTATGACCCCTACAGATCAGCTCTTCCCTAAATTATAATAATAATATAGGATATGTTTCACTAACCAGGAGCTTTTTCAATCCAGCACAGAATCAGGAAAGCATAGGTAAATATAGCAGAGGACAGGCATAATTTATTATGATAGGTGGAGCATGTGGAGTACAGTACGATGGTTTCACCTGATAGCCATGTCTTGGCCCAGGCTCAGTTTAGCTAAAACTTTTGAAACTTTAAAAATTCTGGTATTTTGTACAACTTTGCCCAAACTAACAACTGCTGGTCAAAGGCAGCAACATCTGTGTAAATTCGCTTCTTTGTAGATGAGTCTGGCCTCCCTCCCATTTATTAGTTCATGGCTATTACTATGTATCACTCATGCAGGCATGGTTGTGCATATTAATGCATGTCTAGATCTCTTGCCATTTCTCCCAAAGTAGACTTGTGTTACAGCCTCCATATGGTATCCTCTATTACCTGGAGAGAGTTCCGGGGGTCAACGCCCCTGCGGCAAGGTTGATTGAACTTTGCATCAATTACAACTGTTTTCTTATGATAATGCTACATGCAGACAATTAGTACAGTACTAGCCAACTTGTACATGCAGCACCCTGAGGTGGAAAATTTTGCCTCTCTCATCCCTAACAATATAGTTTAGCTAAGGTATGTGGGCCAAGAGTGGCTAGCACTAGTACCACAATCAAAGAGGTTACCGACACGAAAACCGAAAACTTCAGTAGGTATGCTGATATTAAACCCTGGATATATATGATACTATGTGGGGGCTGCTTCAAAATCTACATGGGAGCAACAGTCAGAGATCCAGACCCACAGAGTTGTGTGTGAGCATGCTAGATAGGAGTGGAGGCAAGTGGTTTTTATGATTTGATGGGTTGTTGAATGCAAGCAAGGTAACATTTATATGAAGGAATTCAGGGAAACCAGTTAGTCAGACTTGAGTCCTTGAGGTAGAAGTACTGCACCTGCACTCTGAAGGACTTGTGGGGATGCTGCGATCTGAAGGGTCATCTGAACTGTGATGTCGGTGCCCCTCTAGCAAGACAGTGATTGAATGAGTGACAGTGAAAGTATTGTCATCTCTGTTGGGTCACCCAATCTTGGTGGGAGACAGCCAGTGTTAAAAACACAAGAGGTGACACATAAAAATAGCCACAACCAACTAATGAACTGGAGTGAAGTCAGACTCATTTACAAAGACAATACTGTATTCCACAGTTGTCCCTGCCTTGAATCAACAGTCACACGTTCGGGCAATGCAGATGTACAGAGTACAAGTGTGCTTTAACATTTCAAAAGTTTCAGCAAAACTGATCTTGGACCCCCAAGACAGGGCAGTCAGGTAAAACCACTGTAATCCAAGTGCCCTACCTGCATTCTTCTATTCTATATGTGCACATGTTTGTCCCACTCTGAACTGGGTAGCAGATGCTCCAGGTGAGTGAACTGCATCCTTTAAAAGTTTACAAACTATGCACGTGTGTAAATTTTACTAATGACTTAGCTGTTAACTGATACAACTTTCCCTATTTAATTAAGGCAATTATAAATTGTAAAATATGCTTTTAATGCAAGCTAAAGAAAAATAAAAGTAATTTAATGTATGACAGTGCTTGCACATAAACTACATAGAGAAATGAAAGTAATAAGATATATGTGTAATAGTAAAATCATGCATAAATGACAAGCACTGTATTATGAACAAGCCATAAATGTGAAAGCTATCAGTATGAAGCAAGATGAATTCTACAGAACAAAAAAAAGACCAGACAACCCGTAAGACATTGTACTTCAGAAACTAATCAGTAGTCCTAAAGTAGCTGTAAATGCCTTCTCAGCTCAGAAGTGCAGCTTGCAAACTATATTTAATAACTTAAAATCTTCCCAGTACCTCCATCTCCCCTGTACCTCCACCTGCCCATCTAATCACTTTCCCTTTTGCTTTTAACTGTTAAATCTATTTGTTCCATAGACTTTCTTAACTTATTTATCTCTCTTCAAAACTTCTTCACCCTTTCGCTGTCTCCTACATAGATCAACATCACTGACACCAGTGTTGCTCATGTAGATCTATGTTTTAAGCACAGTACCCTCAAATATGCTGTGGACAGTAAATTTTGGCCTAGATATGAAAGAATTTGTCTGTGTGGTGAGTGTACACAGTATAAAAATAACCCTGCCCCATGCAGTACATGATGTGAAAAGCAAGCCTCTGACCTTGTGTTTAGTGTAAAATAGTGACATTGAGGTCTTTCAAACCAGTAATTCCTCTCACTTAAACTTATTAAAGCCTTGTCATCTGCAAAACTCATGATGCAGCTGTATTATATAAAGTTGTGTTGCAGTCTTAAGACACTGTATCTGTATTGCAGACTCATGATACTGTAACTGTGTTGTGTTCCAGACTCATGACAATATAGTATGAACTAATAAAATATTAAATTCTCTTGTATTCATTGTAAACTCCTAAATTTACACCTTACTGTTATTGTCTTATTAATCTTAATTAAGCTAGTCTTAATCTTGCCCGAAATGCTCTGCATATACAGGGGCTTTCGGCATGTACACGCAAATGTCATTCTCCTTTGTACAACCACTGTATCATGCTTAAAATACTATTATTATTATTATTATTATTATTATTATTCTACTGCTGTTTTTATGGTTTTATTGGCTGTTGCTTGGTATCAATTGAGAGAATGGAACACATACTAGTGAAATGATATTGGTCAGTTTCAGACCAGAAGTTGCATAAAACAGGGTTCAAAGTGATAAAAATTTTAAACTTTTTGCAGATTTTCCTAAGGAAGGGTTGTGCTCCCCCCTCCCAGACTGTTTTATGAGGTTTTATTAGGTCTGCTTCAGTTACTGGGCCACCCTAAATCATGACCAAAATTTCTTGGTAATATACTGTATGTCACTAATCCAAGAAATAGAGTAAAACTTCAATGTATGTGTGATGATGGATTCAAAATAGAGGGGAAGTATTAAATATGAAAGGCCTGGGGATATGATAATGAAAAGAAGAAAGGTTATTTTAGTGACTGGAATGCCTACATTGTTTATTCTGGACACTTTAAATTGCAATTTGTTTAATTTTGTGTAAAACTGACCAAATTACTGACTTCTGGCCACTTTACAGGGTAGTTCTGATAGTTGAATGGGCAGTTTCTGGCACTCAAACTCTCTTAATTTTTTCACTTTCACCTCCCTCTTACCAAATGATGACATTCTCATTGTATCAACTGTACCTAAATAAATGTGGAAGTGAATGTGTTTAAATATCATAATTTAAAGTAGACATTTCAGCTAACAGGTCTACGAGAGACAAAGTGAGCCATAGAATAGAGGGGAGGAAAAAGGGAGGCAGTATGAGGTATCAGTGGAAGGAAAAGTTTATCTATGGAGGAAAAAAAAAAAAAAAAGGAATGTATCAAAATATGAGTGTGAAGCATGGGTCTGAAAGGCCAGTAGTACCACAATGATATGAATCAATACAAATACTAGTGTATCAATCAAAACCAGCTAACTACACCACTGATTTAACAATACAGTATGCTTTAGCAGAATGGACAGTCACATACCAAACCACACACCACAATTACACCCCACACTGATGTTTTTTACTCATCTGGCTAGCACCAAGGACACTTGACACATGCACTATCATGACACTGGTATGTACCGTCATGAGTCCTGGGGTACTATCCTTTGGGCAGATATCAGCCTCACCACAGAAGGGTGAGACAGTGATGGTTTTTTGGTCCATCTCAGGAAGGTTGTCGGAGAACCCACCATCAACGTAACGTATCCCTTGCACCTTCGGACAAACCCAGCCACTAAACCCAGGGATGAATGCTGAGCATATCAGGGCCTGTTACAGTTCTCTTGATCAAAATGCAGTACTGGATAATGTAAGTGATCATTCCTTACTACAAGAACCAGTTAATTATGTCTCAAGAAATGCTCTTAATATCTCCACCTCCACAAAGCAGTGTAAGCCCATTATAATCTATCAGCCAATTCTTTCTATTGTAAATAACAAAAAAGGCACAATACCGTGACTGGAACGATACACAAATAACCCGCACATAAAAGAGAGAAGCTTACGACGATGTTTCGGTCCGACTTGGACCATTTACAAAGTCACACTAACCAGAAGTGGGGCAGGACGGCTATATATAGGCAGGAAGAGGTGGTGGTAGTAGTAGTAGTACAAGAATGGTATATAATACCGACAAGATGAAATTAAAACACATGCGCAACACCCGGGCATCCCTATCGTAGACGTCTCGCCATCCAGCCGGCCAATGGATGGCGAAACGTCCACAACAAAGACAACCAGACGCCGCAAATGTGTCTTAATTTCATCAGTAGTAGTAGTAGAAGAGGTAGTAGTGGTAGTGGTAGAAGTGGGGAATAAGGAGGACGAGCCAGTCAAATACAAAGGAAGGGGAGCACTGCAAGAGAGCTAGGTGCCCACAGAGGGAGAGCAAGCGCACAGAGGTGCGTGAAAGGGGAAGTGGTGAAATAAATGAAGAAGGAACAGAAACACGAGACAGAAGAGAGAAAGACAACCCAGAGGAGAAAAGGAAAGAGGAAAGGGGAAGAGGGAGAAGAAAAAGAAAAAGAAAAAATGAGGAGTCAGGTTAAGTCATGGGTGTTCTGAAGTTTGGAGCATTTTACAATGTAGTGGGAGAGGAAGGCATCTACAGAGATGAAGCCAGGGCTAAGATTCATACAAGGAAAGTTGTGTATTAGAGAGGATTCAACTAGACGGCGACTGTTCGAGTTGGAAGTAGGGAAGACAGTTTTAGCACAAGACCAGTCAATAGGATGGCTATGATCTCTGACGTGACAGAAAAGAGCATTGTTAGTGTCGGCAAGCCTAACACTATTTTTGTGCTCCCTAAGTCTGTCAGAAAGAGATCGACCAGTTTCTCCGAAGTATTGAAGAGGACAGGAGGAGCAAGAAATAGAGTAGACACCAGGAACATCTGTAGAGTGAGGAGAGGTATGAACGAGATTAGTGCGAAGAGTGTTAGTCTGGCGGAAGGTAAGCTTGATGTCTAAGGGACGGAGAGAATTGTATGAACCTTAGCCCTGGCTTCGTCTCTGTAGATGCCTTCCTCTCCCACTACACTGAAAAATGCTCCAAACTTCAGAACACCCATGACTTAACCTGACTCCTCATTTTTTCTTTTTCTTTTTCTTCTTCTCCCTCTTCCCCTTTCCTCTTTCCTTTTCTCCTCTGGGTTGTCTTTCTCTCTTCTGTCTCGTGTTTCTGTTCCTTCATTTATTTCACCACTTCCCCTTTCACGCACCTCTGTGCGCTTGCTCTCCCTCTGTGGGCACCTAGCTCTTCTTGCAGTGCTCCCCTTCCTTTGTATTTGACTGGCTCGTCCTCCTTATTCCCCACTTCTACCACTACCACTACTACTACTACCTCTTCTACTACTACTACTACTTCTACTACTACTACTGCTACTACTACTACTACTGATGAAATTAAGACACATGTGCGGCGTCTGTTTGGAAAAGTAGTGAATGTACATGCCACTGTGCATAGGTTTTCGGTAAACGGAAAAGAAAAAACCTGTATCCGAGCGGTGGACATGGACATCAAGGAAAGGAAGCAAGGAATTAGATTCCCATTCAGCTTTAAACTTAATGGAAGGGGCAAGATTATTAAGAGCTTCAAGAAAAGGTTGGAAGAGACTGGAGTCATGAGGCCACAGAGCAAAGATGTCATCCACATAGTTAAGACACATGTGCAGTGTCTGGTTGTCTTTGTTGTGGATGTTTCGCCATCCATTGGTTGGCTGGATGGCGAGACGTCTACGATAGGGATGCCCGGGTGTTGCGCATATGTCTTAATTTCATCTTGTCGGTATTATATACCATTCTTGTACTACTACTACCACTACTACTACCACCACCTCTTCCTGCCTATATATAGCCGTCCTGCCCCACTTCTGGTTAGTGTGACTTTGTAAATGGTCCAAGTCGGACCGAAACGTCGTCGTAAGCTTCTCTCTTTTATGTGCGGGTTATTTGTGTATCTTTCTATTGTACCTCATCAATATCACTGTGCTTTACCTTTTATTTATTAACCACCAATTAAATAATTAAAATCATCAATATACTGTACTGTAACTTCCTCATCAATAATAGTAATAAAAAATACATGCAATATATCTTCTTTCAACAAACTGGCCATATCCCAGAAGTAACTATCACATAGTTGTCCACCATTAAGAAGGGTAAAAGACACCAATAGCAACATTATAATTAAAGAGCCTAAATGCAAAGGAACAGTGGCATGTGACATGGAGATTTATAGAAACCTACAAATGTGGAAACTTTCCCCTTTCCATTTTCTTGCACCGTGGATGTTAATAACTACAGTACTCTACCCTTTCCCTCTCCATCTTCTTGCACTATGGATGTTAATGACTACAGTACTCTACCATTTCCCTCTCCATCTTCTTGCACTATGGATGTTAATGACTACAGTATACTCTACCCTTTCCCTCTCCATCTTCTTGCACTGTGGATGTTAATAACTACAGTACTCTACCCTTTCCCCTCTCCATCTTTTTGCACTGTGGATGTTAATAACTATAGTACTCTACCCTTTCCCTCTCCATCTTCTTACACTGTGGATGTTAATAACTATAGTACTCTACCCTTTCCCTCTCCATCTTCTTGCACTATGGATGTTAATGACTACAGTATACTCTACCCTTTCCCTCTCCATCTTCTTGCACTGTGGATGTTAATAACTACAGTACTCTACCCTTTCCCTCTCCATCTTCTTACACTGTGGATGTTAATAACTACAGTACTCTACCCTTTCCCCTCTCCATCTTTTTGCACTGTGGATGTTAATAACTATAGTACTCTACCCTTTCCCTCTCCATCTTCTTACACTGTGGATGTTAATAACTATAGTACTCTACCCTTTCCCTCTCCATCTTCTTACACTGTGGATGTTAATAACTACAGTACTCTACCCTTTCCCTCTCCATCTTCTTACACTGTGGATGTTAATAACTACAGTATACTCTGTGTTACAACAGATCACCTACTTACAAACTCCCTAAGTTATAAACAGACACCTTTAAAAATGGGACACTTAGAAACCAATTATATTTTACACCTACCAAACCACAGTATGAATGTACATGAAACATCTAACCTTTGTACATAATTCTGTACAAAGAACTTATAAGTAAAAAAAAAATAGGTCCTGCTTGAAAAGAATACACTGCTAGAGTCCCTGTTAATTAATAATAAACTTTTGTCCTAATATATAAATGTCCACCACCAGAAGAATGAAATATCTAAGGTGTAAATGTTAAATGAAGTCATTGTGAATGCAAGAAAGAAAGCAGCAATTATTAGGGTTAAAACAACTCATGCATTATCAAGCATGTTGCAGCTGAAACGCATTTTATGAACTATGCAAGTGCAAAAGTAACTTGGAAAACAAAACAAGTAGCATTCGGATTTACAGTAATACAAAATATTGAGTAGGGGTGGAATCATGCTGAAAATATTTTTCTTCCCTAGGGGAGATAGATCTACACCTGCATGAAGTTGACATGACAGTCTCTTGGACAAATATCAGATTCGCCACAGAACGGGCTCACAGTGATTGTGTTGTCATCCAGAATAGGCAGGTTGTCACTGAAGCCACCATCAATGTAGCGAACTCCACGGAATGAGAGTGGGAGCCAGCCGCTGAATCCAGGTATGAATGCTGAGCACAAAATTGCCTACCAACAAGGTAGTGAGAGCATTCAATACTGAATGAGAAGATACTATTGGGAGTCAGTGATGAAACATGACATGAATTTCATCATGTGTAAAACTAACATATAGTTAACCCTTAAACTGTCCAAATGTAGATCTACGTTCACTCGTGTAGCGCTCCGAATGTAGATCTCCGTTTTACATAAGAAAGCATGTGAAATCGAACGTATATCTATGTTCGGAGCACTATGCGAGTGAACGTAGATCTACATTTGGACAGTTTAAGGGTTAAACAAAAAGATGGTTTATTATAAACTATAGTAGAATGATGTTGTAAACTAATTGCACTGTTATGTTGTACAGCAATACAGTTTATATGTCATCATCATAAATAAGATAGCTATACACTTGAGGAACAAAATATATACATTTAGTTTAAGTTTAAGTGGTTGAAAAATAGTTACTGTTGTTGACATCAGTGATTTTTAATAACTGCCAAGCAATTGTTGCTAAACTATACATACTAGATTGTGGAACTAGAAAAATTTACTAAGAAGTCTACCATAAATCCACTAACATCTTTTATAATTCTTTCTCCACTTAAAAGAGCAACTGTATCAGCTGTGCCAGTACTCTATATAATGTAAAATTATGGGTACTGTAATCAATTTGTTATTTATGATAATGGCACTCTTAAGTCAGTGAGAGATGAGAAGTCCATTGACATCTCTTCACTGCTAAACAAATGAAACAAATAAAGCTTATTTAATATTGTATTTAAATTACTTAAGGGTACTGCTTAAGATACACATTAACAAATAAAAATGAGAAATATCTGCATTCATAAAACAATACTGTTTCAATTACTGTATGCTTTGGTTATCATGATGCATCTCGGTGTCCAACTGCACCTACTATAGGCAAATTACAGATACACTTATCACATGCATGGAAAAAGTACTTAGCAACATTCAAGTTTTATAAATTTCTGGATTTCCATTTCATTCCTAAGAGAGACTTTTAGAGACAATCGCTTTATCACCTGGTTCAGTTTCATAAGACAGCACCTAAATCTCAGAAATATTAATGATTAATTATCAAATCTTTCTTTGTTCTCGTATTTAACAAGTACAACTGCTTAAAATGTTTTAAAAGTTGATAGGAATGCAGGAATTATCAACCCTGTGACCTCTAGCATCTTACCATTTTTATACATTGATGAATTGCTATAAACACTTTTTGTAATTTCCTGCCAATTATAAAGCATCTTTACAACATGGAGGATTTTCAAATTTCAAATGAATTCATGGCCTTTCCTAGTTGATGTTTTAGCTAACTGACAACCTCAGATGCAGCAGCACCTCAGGTTGTCAGTTACTATAATCACGTTAATAATAATAATAATGTGAATATAATGCAGAGAATTCGTAGTTTGGAAGTTAGGAGGAGGTGCGGGATTACCAAAACTGTTGTCCAGAGGGCTGAGGAAGGGTTGTTGAGGTGGTTCGGACATGTGGAGAGAATGGAGCGAAACAGAATAACTTCAAGAGTGTATCAGTCTGTAGTGGAAGGAAGGCGGGGTAGGGGGTGGCCTAGGAAAGGTTGGAGGGACGGGGAAAGGAGGTTTTGTGTGCGAGGGGCTTGGACTTCCAGCAGGCATGCGTGAGCATGTTTGATAGGAGTGAATGGAGACAAATGGTTTTTAATACTTGACGTGCTGTTGGAGTGTGAGCAAAGTAACATTTATGAAGGGGTTCAGGGAAACCGGCAGGCCGGACTTGAGTCCTGGAGATGGGAAGTACAGTGCCTACACTCTGAAGGAGGGGTGTTAATGTTGCAGTTTAAAAACTGTAGTGTAAAGCACCCTTCTGGCAAGACAGTGATGGAGTGAATGATGGTGAAAGTTTTTCTTTTTCGGGCCACCCTGCCTTGGTGGGAATCGGCTGGTGTGATAAAAAAAAAAAAATCATAATATAATAATATCTTTCCATGGGGAAGTGGAACAGAATTCTTCCTCCATAAGCCATGCGTGTCGTAAGAGGCGACTAAAATGCCGGGAGCAAGGGGCTAGTAACCCCTTCTCCTGTATATATTACTAAATTTAAAAGGAGAAACTTTCGTTTGTCCTTTTGGGCCACCCCACCTCAGTGGGATATGGCTGGTGCGTTGAAAGAAAGAATAATAATATCTTTATTTACTACTAGTGCATGTACATAGTATACAGGCCTAGCTGATATACTACTATATAGAAAGCCGCTTGTTATGCTGAGCATTTCGGGCAAATCAAGTCAGTTTTGTCCCAGGATGCGACCCACACCAGTTGAATAACAGGTACCCATTTTGAACTGATGGGTGAACTGGGACAGGGACAGCAGGTGTCTTATGGAAACATGTCCCTAATGTTTTCCAGCCATACTGGAGGAGATTCCAACCCCCGGACCTCAGTGTGTGAGCTGAGTGTGCTAGCAATCGAGCTACACATTTCATTCACATTTTACTGCATTGCCTGACTGGATATAAAAGTATTAACACACATTAGATGTGTAAATGGTAGTCTGCCTTGCACTACATGTGTACCTTGTACTTCATGCATGACAATGAGAATGGCCCCCTCAGGGCACAGTGCCTGCCAATAATTTTCATGTCTTCATGTCTGTTTCTCTGCATATATTTGCTGGACATGTCATAGCTCCCATACTACATTTCTTTGAAGATGGTTCTGTACTGGCTAACAGTACTGAAGGTCTTAGAATATCCTGTGTTTCTAGCATACTCATATTTCTGTGTATGGCAATACACTTGTTCATACATGATCAAATTTACATACTGTACTGTATATGTCAGGCTTTTTCAGCAGAGTCTATGCTCTTTGCTTATAAAGCAACAAACAATCTTTGACAAACAAGCAGAGTGAAAATTCACTACTGCAATAACTGCAAAAATCAGTCCAAACACCATGAAATTAATATGTATATCACTGATGTGCATTAATACTACATAAATTTAGGTGAACTTAAGTCTGATAAGATTAAGCTAAATCATAGAGTATTACATTTATTTTAGAAAGGCTAATTGAGGTTCCTAAGTTAGTTTTGGTGGAAAAACTAAAAATTTGTATACAAAGTAAGTTCACAGAAATGAGTTAATTAATGCATAAAATAAAATTTTATGAAAAACCTATCTATTTTTAGGACATTTCTGCCAGTTTTCTCGATACTGCCTACAAAACATAACCAACACCTACACACATATACTATACTGAATATATTGCAAGAGATTTTTACTAAGGTATAGTCTCTCTAAAGAAAAGTCAAACATAATACCTGGATGAGCTCTTCCCGGGAGTCAAACTGAGAAAGGAGAATATTCTTGCCATCACTCACTCGTGTCACAGAGATAAACAACTTCCCACTTACAATCTTGTGGGCATCATCTGGAAGAACCTGTACATGAAGAGAAAAAATCATAATTGATCTATCCTCAGGTTCAAGGCATTAGCTCATATATTCTTCATTGCTAGCAATGTAGACTCACATTTTACACTTTCATGAATATAACAAATTACTTAAACAAGCTGTCAAGTGAGCAAGATTAGCAATGTAACCTTCCAGCGACTGCACCTATTCACCTTGTTAAGAAATCAAAGATGAATGCCCAAATCCGCTAAGCCATAACCTCAATAACAATGATAACTTGACCAGCAGTAACAGCCTGGTTGATCAGGCCCTGATACACCGCGAGGCCTGGTCATGAACTGGGCCACTGGGGCGTTGATCCCAGAACACCCTCGAGGTATACTTCACCCCCCTGACATACGTGCAGTATACATACAAAACCCAAAATTTGAGTTTTTTAATTTGTAAGCTTTAATTATACTTCATAGCTACAATTATTTTCAAGTTTTTTTCATTGTTTGTGACCATTCTTTTTTTTTTAGTTAGGTATACAAACTCCTAAATTTAAAACCAACTACTGGATTTCATTCAAAATGTGCTCAATGGATTTCTTATGCTCAAATCTCTATTTTCTGGGTAATTTTTTATATGAATGTAAACATAAACCATAGGTGTTTGCTCTCCACCAAAATACTACCAAATCTATGTTATTTGAGACAAAACACTATAAGGAGATCTTTTACCCACACTTGAGTGCCTTGGCTTATCAGGTTACTTACATTCAGGAGACCCTCCTTCAAGAGCTTCTCTATATTGAAGGTGGGACTGAAGGGTCCTAGGGTTCGCCGCCTGGCCTCGGTCGCTGTCTTGAGCACTGACGAAGTGATGATACCTGAAAAAGACATGGAACAACTTGCTAAGAGTAACATCAATGTTTCCACCATAAACACATCATCTATCAAAGACCTCACTACGAAACGCAGCCCCACACCTCTAACTTCCACAGGAGGTGTCTACACCTTTCCCTGTGGATTCTGTCCCAAGAAATATGTAGGCGAGACAGGTAGAGATCGTGCGGTCCGCCTGAATGAGCACTGAAGTGGCTGTAACAGAGAAAATTTAAGGTACACCTGTGTCCTCCACAGAGACTCCATGGGGCATTTGATGAACTGGGATGAGGCACAACGCGTTCTCACCGAACCATACCTCAGACACCAACGGTGCCTAGAAGCCTCACTAATTGCTGTCACCGACACAATAGATCACAACACTGGAAACCACAAAATTTCTAAAACATTAGCATACATGATACTCAAGCAAGCTAAGCACCACCAATCCAACAACACAGGAGTCACATGATCTCATCGTCTACCCGTCCTCATCTGAACATGGCTTTCTTCAGGTCACCATGCGTCACTCACACCTCACTCTCTGCCTATATATAATGTCTTTCTACCTCTGTATGTTAAAAGTGATCAAGGTCCTAGGACTGAAACGTTTTTCTAATAAATGTCATAGTGTTTGCTTACGTGTCTTTCTAAACCAACTTGTCAGTATTTATTACCAAAGTTTATACCACTGTACATGTATATTGTAATGAACAGAATAGATAAAATCAGCTTTAATATAATTATTTAGGTATGCATACTGGTTAGAGAGCCCGTCGTAAGTCCGAGTTGTCGGTAAATGAGTATGTCACTAAGTGAGGAGAGGCTGTATAATTTAATCAATAAATCTGAACACAGTTCTACAAGGAGGCGTTAGGTTAGGTAAGATTTGTCAGGAAACAGGACAAGTGTTTCCTGATGTGTGTCTTAGTCAGATGATGACCTGCCACTGGAGCTTTTGGTCATCTGGCCAAGGCCTTCCACTGGCTTACCAGTCCATCCCTTTAAAAATTATGGTTATAATTATAACCATTTTTTGGTAAAAGAGGCATTCATGCCTTATGAATTGACTAATCCTTGTCATTAAGGTATTCAAGGCAGTAGTCCAAGATAAAGAATAAGATATTGTGTGTATTGACTTCAGTAAGGTCTCTGATAGAGTTCCACATAGGAGAATAATTAAGAAAATAGCAGCACATGGTACATACGTACATATATGAGAAATTATCTCATGGATAGAGTCATGACTGACCAATAGGTAAGTGTGCATAAATGTGAAAAAATTAGAATGAGGACCCGTAACAAGTAGTGTGCCACAGGGGTCAGGATTGGAACCCTTGTTCACAATTTACATAAGTAATGGTGATGAAGGAATAAACAGCAATATAAGTTCACCAGTGACACTTAAAAAGGCAGTCATATCATTTCTTATGACGACACTAAAAAACTACAGGATGACCTAGATAGGCTGATGCATCGAAGTGGAAGATGCAGTTCAATACGGACAAATGAAAGGTTCTAAATCCTGGTAAAAGAAAAATCAGTAACTATGGCACTTACATAAGAACAAGAGAAAGAAGAAGCACTGCAACTGGCCTACTGGCCTATGTGAAGCAGGTCCAATTCTCCCACCGGCTTAAGCTATGCCTTGACCTAGTGAGGTCAGACACGTCACTTAAGGGAGGCGCACGGCATCCAACCTAGTAGCACAAGCTAGTCAGGTCCAACTCACACCTACCCACACCCACTCATATTTATCCAACCTATTTTTAAAACTACACAACGTTTTAGCCTGAATAACTGTACTCGGGAGTTTGTTCCACTCATCCACAACTCTATTACCCATCCAGTGCTTTCGTATATCCTTCCTGAATTTGAATTTTTCAAATTTAAAACCACTGCTGTGAGTTCTATGTTAGATATTTTTAGCACGCTATTTACATCCCCTTTATTAATCCCTGTTTTCCATTTACACACCTCAATCATATCCTCCCTAATTCTACGCCTTTCTAGAGTGCAGATTCAGGGCCCTCAGTCTATCCTCATAGGGAAGATTTCTGTTACATGGGATCAACTTTGTCATCCTCCTTTGTACGTTTTCCAGTGCATTGATATCCATTCTGTAATACAGTGACCAAAACTGCACAGCATAATCTAAATGAGGCCTAACCAAAGATATACATGTATAGAGCTGAAGAACCTGAGGACTTCTATTATTTATACTTCTTGCTATGAAGCCAAGGATTCTGTTAGCTTTATTGCGAACACTTTTGCACTATTGTCTTGGTTTCAGATTACTGCTAACCAGAACTGCTAAATCCTTTTCGCAATCAGTAATATTAAGATCTACGTTATTTAGTTTATATGTGGCATGGTTATTTTCCTGTCCAACATTTAGAACTTTGCATTTGTGTATATTAAACTTCATTTGCCACTTCTCTGACCACTGCATCAGTCTATTCAAATCATCCTGGAGTGCTCCAGTGTCCTCATTAGAATGAATTGGACGGCCTATTTTGGTGTCACCAGAAAGACGTAGAATTAGGGAGACTATGATTGAAGTTTACTTATGGAAAACAGGAATAAATAAAAGGAGATATAAATAACGTGCTGAAAGTATATACTACAGTGGACCCCCGCATACTGTTGGCATCACATAACGTTAAATCCACATACCGATACATTTTATCGCTAAGATTTTGCCTCGCATACCGCTAAAAAACCCGCTCAACGTTATTCGTCCGAGACACGTCTAATGTGCGGCCTGAGCCAGCCTCACATGTTCCGCCGGTGGCATTGTTTACCAGCCAGCCTCCGCGGTAACATCCAAGCATACAATCGGAACATTTCGTATTATTACAGTGTTTTTGGTGATTTTATCTGCAAAATAAGTGACCATGGGCCCCAAGAAAGCTTCTAGTGCCAACCCTACAGGAATAAGGGTGAGAATTACTATAGGGATGAAGAAAGAGATCATTGCTAAGTATGAAAGTGGAGTGCGTGTCTCCGAGCTGGCCAGGTTGTATAGTAAACCACAATCAACCATCGCTACTATTGTGTCCAACAAAACGGCAATCAAGGAAGCTGTTCTTGCCAAAGGTTCAATTGTGTTTTCGAAACAGAGATAGCAAGTGATGGAAGATGTTGAGAGACTCTTATTGGTGTGGATAAATGAAAAACAGATAGCAGGAGATAGCATCTCTCAAGTGATCATAAGTGAAAAGGCTAGGAAGTTGCATGAGGATTTAATTAAAAAAATGCCTGCAACTAGTGATAATGTGAGTGAATTTAAGGCCAGCAAAGATTGGTTTGAGAGATTTAAGAAGCGTAGTGGCATACACAGCGTGATAAGGCATGGTGAGGCTGCCAGTTCGGACCACAAAGCAGCTGAAAAATATGTGCAGGAATTCAAGGAGTACATAGACAGTGAAGGACTGAAACCTGAAAAAAGTGTTTAATTGTGATGAAACAGGCCTGTTTTGGAAGAAAATGCCAAGCAGGACCTACATTACTCAGGAGGAAAAGGCACTCCCAGGACATAAAGCCTATGAAAGACAGGTTTACTCTGTTGTGTGTTTCCAATGCTAATGGTGATTGCAAAGTGAAGCCTTTATTAGTGTATCACTCAGAAACTCCCAGAGCATTCAGGCAAAAGATATCCTCAAGGCTAATTTGTGTTTTCTGTGGAGGGCAAACAGTAAGGCATGGGTCACTGGGGACTTTTTCTATGACTGGTTACACCAAGCATTTCCCCCCCAAGTGAAAGATTACCTAACTGAAAAGAAATTATACCTTAAGTGCCTCCTGGTGTTAGACAATGCCCCTGGTCATCCTACAGACATGGCAGAGCGACTTCATGGGGACATGAGCTTCTTTAAGGTGAAGTTTTTGCCTCCTAATACCACTCCCTCCTGCAGCCCATGACCAGCAGGTTATTGCAAACTTCAAAAAACTGTACACAAAAGCTCTGTTTGAAAGGTGCTTTGTAGTGACCTCAGAAACTCAATTGACTCTAAGAGAGTTTTGGAGAGATCACTTTAATATCCTCAATTGTGTAAACCTTATAGGTAAGGTTGGGAGGGAGTGACAAAGAGGACCTTGAACTCGCTTGGAAGAAACTGTGGCCAGAATGTGTAGACCAAAGGGATTTTGAAGGGTTTGAGGCTAACCCTGGGAACCCTATGCATTTTGAGGAAATCCACTGTGGCATTGGGAAAGTCCTTGGGGTTGGAGGTTAGTGGGGAGATGTGGAAAAATTTGGTGGAGGAGGACAATGAAGAACTAACCACTGATGAGCTGCTAGATCAACTTCAACAGCAAGAGGCCAGACCTAAGGAAACTGCTTCGGGGAGGGGAGAGAGAAATTGAAGAAGTTGCCTACTTCAAAGATTAAGAAAATGTGTGGAATGTGGGTTTAAAGTGCAAACCTTTTTTGATGACAATCAAACCCCAACACAGCTATTGCAAGCCGTGCTGGTGACTATTACACGGGCACTGTTGTGAAACACTTTAGGAAAAGTCATAAAGGAACGAGAGGTACAGGTATCTATGGACAGATATGTTGTGCGACAGAAGTCCAGTGACTCGAAGCTGGTCCTAGTGGCATTAAAAGGGAAAAAGGGAGGTAACCCCAGAAAAGGACTTGACACCTCAAGTCTTAATGGAAGAGGATTCCCCTTCTAAACACTAAGACTCTCTCCTCCTCCCATTCCATCAATCATCACCAGATCTTCAATAAAGGTAAGTGTCATGTAACTGTGCATGTCTTTTTCAGTTTGTGTGTATTAAAATTAATATTTCATGTGGTAAATTTTTTTTTTTCATACTTTGGGGTGTCTTGCACGGATTAATTTGATTTCCATTATTTCTTATGGGGAAAATTCATTCGCATAACGATAATTTTGCATAACAATGAGCTCTCAGGAACGGATTAACATCGTTATGCGGGGGTCCACTGTATATACGTATAACGAAGACAAGACTTACAGCAATGAATTCGTCGGAC